AAAAAAAAACATTGAAAAAAAAAAGAGGATTTCTCAGGACATTTCTCAGCGTTTCATTCTGTTACACACAGGGCTGCTATGAATCGGAACTTGACAGAATGTAGTAACCTTGTCGTTTTTGAGATGGCTGATTTAAGAGAACAGCAGGTGGCTGTGAAATTTGGTTTCCTTCTTGGGAAAAATGCAGCAGAAACTTGTGATGTTGAACTGAGCCTACCAGGAGAGTGCTGTGGGGAAAAACTCTAGTGTAAGGGTAGTTTTCTCATTTCAAAAGACTGACTGTCTGGTCTACCAGGTCAGACTGTTCATCAAGCTTTCTATTTAGAGGTTTTGAAAACTGCATGACCGTGTGTGACTAAGGGCCTGATTTGGGACAGAGGGGACTGTTTTTGCCACCATGACAGTGTACCTGCTCAAGCAGCCATCTCAGTGTACCAGTTTTTGGCAAAAAGCAGCATGCCTCTCTTGCCCCACACACCTTACTCAGCTAAACTCGTTTTATGAGATTTCTTTTTGTTTCCACAAATGAAGAGAGACATGAAAGGACAGTGATTTGATGACTTAGAGAAAGGGAAGAGTAAACGAGGGAGGTGCTGTCAGCCGTGCAAACAGATGAGTTTAAAAAATGTTCCCAAGAACAGGAATCACAGATTTGACAAATGTTTTAAGTGTAATGAGAGAGTACTTTGAAGATGATAAGGTTGTTTTGTTTAGAAAAATTTTAAATACATAGCTTGGGGGTAGGGGATGGAATTTCAGTTTATTTTGAGGTATCCCCTTGTATAGTTAAGAGAATATGAATAAAAACAAGGCATCTCAATTTATATTCTGCTTTACCCTGTACCTACTATTGATTACTTAAAAGAAATGATACAAGTACATGGTCTGGAATAATATCTGTTAGACTTACTAAGCACCTGAAGAATCTTGGCTAATACTACTGTTCTTATGGAGATCCCTTGTTTTGCTACTTATTATTTAAAAGATCTGGATAAATGTTCATGATTGTTGTCATCATCTGGCTGTCTGCGCTATTTTCAATTCTATATATTCCTTTTAATGTATCTGTATGTTCTTTTTAATGTAGGGAAAATGTTGATGGATTAATCACAGTAACTTTTTAATCCTTGACAAGTGTCTGTTCTGGGATTTAAAGATCAATGTTTTGATAACCTTATTTCTCTTGTGTTTGAAAGACAGGTATATGTGATTATTTATATTTGGTGGGGATTTCTTTAGCAATAATTCTCATCATAAAGTCCATTTACATTCTTACCTGAAAGGACAGACACATTTTGGGTTTCTCCTTTTACTATTTAAGGATAATGTAATTTTGAGGTAAAATAAGATTTAATGTTCACCATACTTAATAATGATTCCATATTGTTATTGAATCTTTCAGTGTGTAACCAAGGTGTTTTAATTCTCCTTGAGTGACCTGTAGTAAATTTGATAAAGCATAATTAAACTCTAGCCCAATGTTAATATAGCATGGTAGGTTCTAATTAGAGATATCATTGTATCATTATTTAACATTGACCCTAAATTCAATTTTTCACTTAAGGTTATTTGGGAGTGGTTTGCTCAAACAAATACTGTTCGGTGATGGTGTATTTCATTTCTCCATGAGTTTGGTAGCGTCCAACTTTAATTCACCCCACCTGCCTCCTTGGGTTTCAGAGTTACTCAATAGCCGTGAGTCGGGAGTTTGGTTGGTAGTCTAGTTTTTATGTAACACATGTTTTCAGCTTTTATAGATGATGCTTTTGATTTGGGATTATATTTTGTTTATTTGTAGGTGTCACAATATAATGAAAGTGGCTCAAGCGAAACTTGAAATGATAAAACCTGAAGAAATAAACTTGGGGGAATATGAGGTAATGTACATTTTGGATTGAGGGATAGGTCTGAGATTCAGTAATTCACTTACATTCTTTTAATTTAAGTGTGAATTAGTTATGACTGATTAATAAATTTCTTAGTTCTCAAGGCACTAATAATACCATCATATAATATCTTACAAATAGTTTGATGTGATGGCATGTCAATGAAAAGATTTTTTAAAAGAAAAGATGTTTCTTTTTGATTTTTGACTTTAAGTGCAGTCTTCTTTTATACCACAGGTTAGTTAAAACTACTTTAAAAATGATATTTCTAATCTCAGTAACAATTCTATATGCAAGATACATTCATTTTTGAGCTAGAATTTTATAACTCATTCATCAAGTGCCTGTTGTGTGCCAGGTATTCTTCTTAGGCTATTGCATGTGCTAATTTAGTCTGGAGAATAACAACTCCAATAAGCTCTGAGAGGCATTTACCCAGAAATGAAGCTCTTTGACCAAGATGCATTGTCTGGAACCATAGTTACTTAAATATGTTTCCTCATGTCCAGTAAGAACAAATTGAAGTATCTTTGATTTAATAATGGACCCATATTTTTAAAATTAGTTGATCCCCCTAGCCCTTTTGCCAAGATTGGAGTTACAGGGTACTTAATTTTTCATTGTCAGTTCATAATCTCTCTCCCAAGTTACTTAATCAGATTTGATTCAGTAGTTTTTATTCTTAAACCATCTCATATTCTTTCTAACTTAAGAGCAATTAAATCCTACAGGTATTTAAATAGCACGCTTTTGGATTCTACCTATCGCTCATATCTTTGACTTGCTCTAAATCCTAAACTTTAAAGTGAGACCCAATCCAGCTCAACAACTGATTTTCAAAAATTTTTATTGGAACACCACTATTTGATTATGGTTGTGACTGCTCTTGCATAACAATAGCCTACTTGAGTAGTTGCGATAGAAAGAGCAAGGCCTGCAAAATCTGAAAATAATTATGAAATGGCCCTTTACAAAGAAAATCTTCCTATTCTTGATCAAAGTCACAACTTGCAGAGCAGCCTTGACCTCTGAATGTTACTGTGCTTTACCTCATACTCTGAAAGGTAGACCCTGAAAAACGAGCATCATTTATGCTCAAAACTCGCTGCCATCAAGTCAATTCTGACTTAGAGTGACCCCTATAAGACAGGATGGAACTGCTCTGTGCCTTTCCAAGTCTGGAACTCTTGTCAGGAGTGGACAGCCTCTCCTTCTCCTGGTGGTAGGATCAAGTGGCTGCTGAGCTTGTGGTCAACAGCCCGATGGATAACCGCTATGACGCGAGGTCTTGTTTATGTTCAAGGAGACTGTTATTGGCAAATAACTTGACTGTGTTTCTTTCATTTGCTTATAAAATATGTGTATTAAAGCAGTACCATCTTATCATCAATATTTATTTTAGCTTCATTGTATATTGAACTTAGGCTTATCTTGAATTCATTTTTGTTAAATAAGTTAAGGAAATCATGATATTGTTTTCTAAAGTTAATGTATGTCAGCCAAGAGTCATTTTGTGTGTGTGTGTGTAGGTTGTAGGGGAGGCAAAATTTTCCTAGTATACTACTCTCTGCTTCAACATTCCTTAGGTAAATATACTCTCTATCTCTATATATACCGTGTGTGTGTGTGTGTGTGTGTGTGTGTGTGTGTACGGTGAAATTAATGACAAACTTGGAAAGCATTCTTCCTCACTACCATGAGGTCAATTCCTAAAGGACCTCGTAGCTTCTGTGGGTTTCTGAGACTGTAACTCTTTAAGGGAGTAGAAAGCCTCATCGTTCTTTTTGAAAAGCATTAAAGGATGAAAAGCAAGCTTTTGACGTAGCACTTTGCAACGTCAAGCTGCTCCATTTCAAAGTCATAACTTTTTTTAGTACTATAAAAATGTAGCTGACATTTAATGTAGATAATTTAGCAAGATTTTAATAGTATATGCCTTTATATTGAGAAAAATTTGAGAAAAAGAGCAATAACTTCATTGATTATTCTGCTTATGTAATTGTTTATATATCTTAGTGTTGTCTTTGATAATTTCTCATCAATGCCTAGTAATTTTTATATTTATTATTAGTAATTTATTTTGTAAATTAGAAATTAAACATCTTGATTTTGTTCCATTTTATCTGCAGTGTTAACTGTTCTTTTAATTCAAATAGTTGTCAGAGAACTATGCAATATTTTTGTTACTTGAGGAGTAGCCTCCATTTCGATTTTAGTGTCTTACTTTATTATTTTTCTTTACCTATAGGAGTGGCATCAAGATTATAGGAAATTCAGGGAAACAACAATGTATCTCATAATTGGACTAGAAAATTTTCAAAGACAAAGGTAAGGCAAAGTTTAAAACTATAGAGAGTTCAAGTTTTGCACCTAATATCGATTAATAAGACCTCTGCAAATGAGGCCCAGAGGACCATATCAGACCTCCTCTGGCTTCCCTATAGCTTTGAAGCAGGGATCAGACATGCTTCCACCCTCCATTCTTCTTTACCTATTCAGACAGCACAGAGCACCCAGACAAAACATGATTGATTATGGGGGTTTGTCAAAGAAAGGGTACCACAAGTCAGGATCAGTAAACTGCAAGGATTCATTCATTGTTCCACAGCAGCGCTGCTTCTCAGCCAGTAGCCAAGTCTCAAGGCCCTCCACCTCTCAACCACGTGATCCCTTTGCTTCTGCCTCCATGGGCCAAGAAGCAGGCTCATTGTTCTGCCTGTTCCATAGTCCTGGCGATGCTGCCCCGTTCTGCCTCTTGGCCTTCCTCCCTCCACTTCTGATCTCAGCCTGCTCCTTTGCTTTGTCCCATGGTCTTCATGCTGCAGCTGCTTCATATAGAGATAAGGAACAGTCTTCACTGGCACTTCTCTGTCTTCTTGCCGAGACTGCTCATCCTTATAGCTGGGGAGTGGCAAGTAAAACTGACCACCACCAGATTTACTGGGTTTATTTAAGGATGTTTATAGCTTAGCACAGGTTAGGATTAATAAACAATAAGGATATAGTCATTGGTCCACAGCAAGCCCTCTTCTTAGCCAGCAACCAAGTTGCTCTCTGGTTCACAGCTACATGATCCCCTTAGCCTCCACCTTCTGGAACCAGGAAGCCAGCCTGCCAGCCTGTCTTGTCTTTGTTTTGAACATGTTTAGTAACAATTTTAAATTCACAAAATAATTGGATAGAATAATGTCCATAGACTCCCACACAACATATATATATATATATATACACACACACACACACACACACACACATATATACAGAGAAAATACGTTTGTTTAAATCTGTAAGATTATTATGAGTGTCTTTGTTTTTCTCAGTTCCTAGACACTCCAATTGAAATCTACAATGGAATATTCATTTAACCTATACCTCAAATTAGGGACTGCTGGTGGCATAGTATTTATGTGTTGAGCTGCTAACTGCAAGGTTCGAAATCTGATACCACCAAGCCACTTCAAGGGAGAAAGACATTTGACTCACAGAATGTTACAGTCTCAGAATCTCCCAGGGGTAGTTCTCCCCTGTCCTATAGGTTTGTTAGGAGTTGACATGACTTGATGGCAGTGAGCTTGGTTTGTACCTCAAATCAGAAATATTTCTAATCCATGTGTTTGTCTGAATTTTTACATATTTTTAAAAATGTAAGAAGGCTTCAAAAAGTGGGAAAATTCCATTTTATTTTTAATGCCATTTTTTTCATGAACCTTTTGAAGTATCCTCATATAACTATAAAAGCGTCTAAAAATATATCTTAGATCGTTTTTCATTTAAATGGCTTACAGAAATATTTTCTTAATATGGTATTGCTACATATTATTTGTTCTTAATAAGAAAGGATTGCTCTTAATTCGTTTAGCATCCCAGATGGTTTACTCCTGTTTTTGTCCAATCTTGACATATTTAATTCTTATCTGTTAATATTAATTTACTTAACCAATGTTTTTGTTTTATTTTTAGAAAATAATTTTGAAACATTATCATTGTTAAATATTATTTCAAAGACAGCCCCAGGCCTTTTGAGGTGCTGATAAATTTGGCCAATGTTGTTGATTAATTACGCCTTCACCCCCATCCCCCCACCCACACACACACCAGTGCCCTCAGCGACCCAGCTCAGGCTGGCTCTTGGGTGTGACTGTATCTGTGTGAATTATGGGGGAATCCCCAAGCCTTTGCTTCTGGTTGCCCCCAACGGCAGACAGAGCCTCATATTTTCCTCATTCCCCACCTCTTCCTTTATTTTCTCGGAAGGATCAATTTTTCATAGTGTATTTGTGGAGGCAAATAATTTTCTTAGCACCAATCATCAAAAATAGTGTGTTGAATTGTCAAAACTAAAAACTAGATTACAGCCAAATTAAAAATGTACTGAGTTTCTATAACTTTTTTTCTTTTTGATGGAAAGTATAAGAAGCACCCCCTGAGGTATACTATTTTTATAGCAATATAGATTATTTCCTCTGCGATCTTCACTGTGAAATTCAGTTCCCAGTTGACAACTAGCTGCTTTTCAAATACTCAGCCACACGTGGCTAGTGACGTCCTTATTGGGCAGCGTAGTGTAGCGCATGCCCATCGTTGCTGAAAGTTTTATGGAATGCTGCTCTAGGGAGAAATACTATCCACTTGCAGTTATTAAAATTTTAAAGTAACAGTAATACTTAATTCTAAATTATTAAGTAAAGTCCTTGCCACTATGTAATTTATAAGAGAGTTCCCATTGGTAATTGAGATAAAAAGCTATTTTGATCAGTAATTCTTATTTTGTGAGCTACGTTTTAGTTAAGGTTTAGTACTAGTCATACTCACTTTTAGGTTTTCTGAGATTTGTGCTAATGTAATGAAAATAGTAATATATTTCAATTTTAATCATGTTTAAGATCAAAGACGGCATATCCATTTTGCTGATTAACATGTCTATAAAATGAAGTAGATTTGCCAAGTCACATAACTGACAACAGCAGCCAAAGCACTGACTTTTAGTCAATGTTGGGACCCAGTGACGCTACATAGGGTTCCTGAGGCTGTAAAGTTTTCTGGGAACAGACAGGCTCATCTTTCTTTAGAGGAGCAGTCAGTGACTTTGAGCCACTCCCCACCATACGGCTAGCAATTCAGTGCTTACCTGAGAACACCACCACGCCCCAAACTCGCTAGAAACACAAACTCCGCTACCATTGACTTATGTCCAACTCATAGAGACTCGCTAGGATAGGGTAGACCTGCCCCTGTTGGTTTCCCATATTAATTCTTTATGAGCGTAGAGAGCGTAGTCTTTGGAGGAGCATTTGGTGGTGTTGAACTGCCGACCTTAGGGTTAGCAGCCCACTGCAAATAACTAGTACACCTAAGGAAGTAAAAATAAGACTAGAGATCTGAATGTTCAAAGAATTCCTTAAGTGCAAAAAATATTATCCACTTCAATAAGAATTACAAAGATGAAATTGTCATTTTCCAACTATCTGCATCACCCTTACATTAGCTTTTCTCTTACATTTATTTCAGCTTCTAAGATACATGTCACAACACTCTTCAATTTAATAGTTGACTAATCAGTTCCAAAATATATACATATTTGGAAAGCCGCAATTATAGTATTGTAAATATTAAATCTGAAGCATTAACTTGAAAATGGTTAGAAATAAATACAGAATATTTTTAAAATAAGCATTAATTTTATTACTTTAAATCTAGCAGTTACCAAACCTAGCAGCAGGCATGTAAAGCATGACCAAATAGTTTTGTCTAATTTTTTGAAAATGAAAATGATAATCCCTTGCCTGAAATATTTACTGGCTGGCCATTTCCTTCAGTGAGTAGTGAAATGAACATCAGGTGTTTAGACACCAGCGTTTTAAAGATGTGTCCATGGAAGATATTGACAGTTTACCAGACGGCATAGTCTTCATTTTATCTTAAGTGAAAACAGAACATTGAATGTGACTCTGGATTTATTTACATATAAAAGCTGTAAGCACATTCAAGGCTGGGAAAATGCAGAGCATTTTGTGTGCCTTATTAGAAAACTGGAAGAAGGCCATCCTAGCTTTTCTCAAAGGAGACAGCTAGATAATGAATGACATAAAGGAGTTTTCAATGGGAAATCAAAGAGCTATAAAAACACTTTTGCTGATTATCTGTAAGATAACAACTGCCCTGGTGCCGGAGTGGTTACAAGTAGGCCTGTGATGCACACAGTCAGCAGTTGGGATGCTGTCCGCTCTTGTGGAAAGGAATCCAAGGCTGGAAAGGTCTCGGAGAGTCCGAGCAACAGCTCTGCACAGCCTTCTAGGGTTGCTGTGAGTCAGCATGGATCTGATGGCAGGGATTTGGGTTTGGAGTTTTTAGACCCCAGGGTAGTGGTGTGAAACATTGGCATATAGTATTGTTAGCACTCCATTATTTCATGTCAAAAAATCTTTAGCAGAGATGTTGTCCATATTATTTCAAAATCAACCTTTGCTCCTTGGTTTTCATGAAAACAAATTTCTAAGAAGTCATTTTCAAATTTGCTTGTTTTAAAAAAAAGTTATTTTTCATGACATACTTTAAGTTATATAATTCGATTTTCATAAATGGGTACATTCATTTCCAAACAGTTTTACATGTAACATTTGATACATGGACATGATTAATATATGAACTTGACAAGGTAGCTTAAAATTTTTATTTCTTTAAAGTCTTTCAGTTTTTAAGATGCTAATTTCTTTAGTGATATATAAGAAGATATTGTGAATTGGAAAACTCCCACAAAGCAAATATCGAGTTATTTCTCATATTTCCATTATATGCATGTGAAGGAACTCACAAAGTTCATGGGGAAAAATCCATTATCTATTAATTCAATTTTTCCAAAACTTTCTGAAGCCCCCTTATATATGTGTATGATTTTTTCCTAAAGCATGCTAAGTTGAAAGGTAATTATTTCAGAAACGAATAAAATATTCTATTAAACATTTTCTCCCATTTCCAAACAGTTTGACATTCATTATAGTCATATATTAGTACTACTTCACTATAGCACATGGACTAGGGCCTTTCATATTTGGTTTGTGTTGTTGTGTTTCATCTCACCAGATTGACCAGATTTGAAAGCATTCTTTCCTTTCCCACTTGTTCCATACTATCTTTTAGATTTTTCTGAATGTCTAGCGCAGTGTTTTTACAAAGAAAAGAACTGATTAATAGTCACAGAATGATGTCTGTCAGTGAATGATGTTTGTGATTTAAAACACACAGTAAGAATCCTTCATTTAGAAATGTTTTTTTTGTTAAGCAAGTAAATTGCTGATTTTCACATCAATCTTAATTTTGAGTCCAAATAAGAAACCTGAGAAAAGACTTGAGACAAAAAGGGTTTCCCGAATTCCTGACATTTAGCCTTTCCAATACCACTTTTTCCTTAAGTAAATTGCTGGCTCCAATTTAAAACAAAAAACTTTTTAAGATTTAACTAACTTCTCATTTCAGATATTGCTAGTGTTAAAGGCTCTCGGGCATTTAGTGTATACAGTGATATTTTTTGCTGTAATGTTCTAAATAATCAAAATTTGAATGCTTCATAATTTTATTGATTTTTTAATAAAGGTAAAATACTATAATATATCTATTACATATTTTTGCATCATTACATGTTTTTACATAATGTACTGTGTTTTTCATTTCTAAGTTACATAGATTCCTTGCTGTTCCTAATCTGTGCTTATCAGAATAACAAAGAACTCATGTCCAAAGGCCCATATAGAGGACATGATAAAGAATTGATATCACATTATAGAAGAGAATGTTTACTGGTAAGTAGAGTGTATATCATATATGTTTATATAACCATTTTATTTTTCACTGGACAGATTTTCCAGGTTCATGTTTTAGTGATTGATTCTATAAACTCTTATTAGATCTCACTTTCATTTAAATACTGCTTCACTCTACACCACGAATGCCTGGTATTTTTTTCCTTTAGATAAAATTGTGTGTGTGTGTGTGTGTGTGTGTGTGTACGGCAACTATGGCCCCAAACATAGGAACAATTGTGAGGATGGCACAGGACTGGGCAGTCGATGTTTTGTTCTGATGTAGGGTCATTGTGAGTCAGAACCGATTCAATGGCATCTAATAAGATATAGTATAAGGCATTCAGGAATGTTTGGATTTTTGAGTCTATAGGTTTGTAGCTTGGTCTATGTGTACTTTACAGAACGTAAAGTAGATGTGCTGGTGCAGTGATTTCTGATGACGTCTTGATATTGAGCTCTTATACATATATGACTGTCACTGGATATGTTTCTCAAGTCAACCTGGCCTAGCAGAATAGAGATGAAGCTATTTTGATAAAGCTGATTTTATACATAAATGAAATCAAAACTTGAAAGTAGCTTTGAAAACATTTTAAAACAGTAGACTGTTTCTCTTTCCTTGTAGTGATAGTGAACCAGCCACACTTACTGTATAAACTCAAGTACTGTATAAGCCGACCTGAATGTCAGCCGAGGCACCTCATTTTACCACAAAAACTGCATTAAAAATGTGCTGAAAAACTCAACTTACATTCAAGTATATATGGTAGCTTGTTTTACCTAGGAATCTTAGTGGACCTTTATGATAATTAATTTTATTTGATGATAACCAAATGGATTTGTAGCTGATAATATACATAGGCAAGAGCGATTGCCAGTTTGATTAGGTTTGGCATGACCAACTTTGATTTTTAGAAGAGAATTCTGGCAGTGGGATACTAGAGCAGCCATCTAAGGCCTGCAAAATCATCGGTACCAGCTAACATCACACTTCACCAGAGAGAAGCAGTTCCAGCCATCTCATGGGTGAGTCTTTTCAATGGTTGACTAGGATGGCCCATGAGCGATGTTATAAATCCTCAAATGAGCCTTGGCCAAAACAATCAAAAGGTTCTTCACCACCACACTGAAGCATAGCTGGAAAGGCATAAAAATTAAAATCAGACAGCCTAGATTACAAGGACAGGGAAAGGGTGAGACTCTGAACTAAGGTAGACGCACATTGAATGTAAAGAGGATACAGAGAGTGGTGAAGCAAATGAAATCAAGGAACGTGGATGACTGAGAAGGAAATAGAGGAGTCCAACTTGCCCGTGTTTGTCTTTGTGGGGATCTAAAAAGAATGGATAAAGTTGGTTTGGGACAGTGTGTTAGGCTGCATTCGCTAGGGAAGCAAAACCTGTGCACGCGCGTGCGTGTGTGCGTGTGTGTGTGTGTGTGTGTGTGTGTGTGTGTGTGTGTAGAAATTTTTATCAAGAAATGGCTCACACAATCTAGACGTGGGTAGGTCCCTTCCTGTTCAAGCCCGTGGGTCAGACATTGTCCTGGAGGCTTCTCCCAACTTCAGGGCTGATGAAGCAGGAGGACCATAGGCTGGTAGATACAAAGTTGATTGGATCCACAATCAGCAGCTTGCTGATGGATGCTGGGATTGGCAGGCAGTATCACAGGAGGTCCATGAACCAGATGAAGAATCCAGATCCAGCAAGAGTAACAAACTTTCCCAGAGTCTGCTTAAATAGGAGGAAGCTACACCCCCAGAGTCTTTCTTCCAGTTGTATCAAGGCTGTGGCTTGATCAGCGGGGCTGTACTACACCACACTGTTCTCTGTTCACAGAGTTAATTGTGATATGTGAGATCTCATCATGCAGTTGATTTCCTGTTGTGTTAGCTCCCATCTTGGGGTGTTACTACCAAACTGCTGAGAACCCAGGCCAGCCAAGTTGACACAAAACCTAACTATCACAGATATCTTAAATTTAATATATTTTGAGGACATCCTTGTAGTCAGTGAAATTGAATTACAACAAAATCCGTAGATTCAGTGAAATTGAATTACACCAAATGTCAACATTTATTTTCAGGACAACTTCACATTTCTTTGAAGACCTGTTGCCAGAGTGACAGGCTGTGTCCTAGTCAAGTTTTGACAAACCATCCTGAGGACAGTACAGATTTTTGTTTTGCTTTTCCTTTTGTTGTTTTTTTTGCATATCTTATTGTAGCTGAAACTTGCTGGATGTAAGTTACAGGAAACTGCTTTTAGTGGATACAGAGAAAATTGCTGAGTTAATATGAATACACTCCAAGCATTTGATCAGGATAATAAGATAAAAGAGATAGTAAAAAAAATGCCCTTATGGCCAGTAAACTGAATTTAGACTTGAGCTATGAATAGCTCATAGGTAAAAAAAAGGAGTTGACAAATCCAGATTTAATGGATTTTGAAGAGGAAATAAATGCTGAAGAAAGAAATAATGAAGAGAAGAAAAAGAAATTGTCAAAGACTTTACAATGAAAGGATTAGCTGGGGCTCTTTCTAAATGAAACCAGGGGTTTAAGTTGCTTCAAAATCTAGACCCAAACTCTAACCACTTTGCTAAAATTAATCAGCAGCTTGTGGAAGCAGTGAGGTTTTATTGAGAAGTACATGAAGAATAAAAGGACCTTATCAAAAATTCTCATTAAATGTTGGGTTAGCACAGCATCCCCATTCTCAGTGAGATTCCAGATGACCCAGACCTTTCCACAAGTGGAGCCAGTGCCCCAGCTGACAAAATGCCCGTGTCCAACTTCTCATCGTCATCAGACTAAATGTTTATGGCGTGTGCATTTTTATGCACTGCTTATTAAAATTTATATAAGTTTACATGTAATCTCCCCAACCCAAAAGACAAAATTTGGTTTATAAAGTTGCTCATCACTTAACTACCACACAATCGGTTCAAACTCATGGCAGCCCTATAGGACTGGGTAGCACTCCTCCTCGCACAGAGCAGATGGTGGGTTCAAACTGCTCAACGCAAGGTTAGCAGCACCTCGTGTAACCCTGTGCACGGCCAGCACTCCTGACTGTGTAGACAAACTGAAAATAAAGGATCATGGTAATGAAAACTAAAAAGAAAACGGAATATTTTACTTACCTCAGACAGATTTATGATGGAGTTGTTGGGACCCAAGTGGTAGAGTAGTGACAGTTGGAGAGTACGTACTTTACAGGCTGTATTTCATTTATCCTTTGACCAGTCATCTTGAGCCAGAATTGACTCGATGGCAGTAGGTTTGGTTTAGTTTTTAAAGGGAGGTCATCATCTTCCAATTTTCTTATAGCAATTAAAGCTGAACTCAGAATGCCTTTCACAAGATTAGATCATTAAATTGCAAATGAGTGAGACGTTTTAGAACAAGTCACTCTCCAGAATAAAAAATGATTGCACAAGTATCACATAATAAAAACATGAATAATACAATTTTTGTATCAGAAATTCAATTTAAAAGTGTAATTATTATAAAGTAATATTTACTAAGCTCTAATATGTAGTTCAGATATGAACCCTCAATATAGTTCTTATCATAGTTATATTCATTTTCCCTTCATTCTCTTCTACTTGTTAAGAAGTTGTGACAATCTTTTTATGTCCTAGCCTGCTGCTGGTTTTTTAAAATAAGAACAAAGTCATGCCCATTTATTTACACACACACACACACACACACACACACACACAATATGGCAGCATTTGTGCTTTAGTAGTAGATTTGCTGACTAGTTGCCACAGAGAATATTTGATCCTCAAAGTGTAAACTCTGTCAGCCCAGGCGTTTTATAGAAAATTTCACCATCCCTGTACTAAACTGTATGGATTTGTATTATTTACTTGGGAGCCTACGTTAGAAGTTTATGACACGTGGCATGCACTCTAACAATTTGCAGAAGAAGTTTAAAAGAACGCACATTATTTTTATGCTTTTTTATTAAGGTTTATAACAGTGCTTATTAATTTGACTTTGGTTGATAAAATAACTTCAAAATTAATGTGGAATCTGAGTTTATATTTTAAACTACTTTTGAGTTCTAGTCAAATTTTAGACCAAAATTTTAGCCAACTTTTCATTTGGCCCTTAGGGGTAAATAATTTTTTTATGGAGAATAAGGAAAAATGGCCATTTTAGTGATGAAAATGGACGACAAAGTAAGGCATAATTCATTTGAATGTGGTATGTGGGCCTGGATTATTGAACATGCCATTAACTCTCAGGAGAATGAGCAAATTAGTCTTGGAAGAAAAACAACTAGAATGTTTCTCAGACATACCCATGGAATAGTGAGACTTTGGCCTTAGCTTGCTTACTTGGATGTATCATCAAAATATTATCAGAAAAGGCCAACTCCTAGGATAGGACATCATGTTTAATAAAGTAGAGGATTGTCCAGAAGGAGGAAATCCCTCATAGACATGAGCTTCTGCAGTGGACTCAGACACACCAGTGATCGTGACGATAGCTCTGACCCCGACAGTACCTCGTTCTGTTACTAGAAGGTTACAATGACTCAGACCAGCCAATGGCACACCATCACCAAACCCAGTGAATGGTGGTGATTGAGGTAATGTAATGTGAATGTGAATGTTAAAAACATGCAACAGTGTTTTCCCCTCTATGTTATGCTTTTATTGCTGCTGCTGCCATTGTTTATGTCCAAATAAGCTGAGATGCTATTTCCTGACTGTTTATGAACATACTTTTGTTAGTGTCTTCAGTATTAACATTTAAAGTTATTTTTATTTAATTAAAAATATAAACTTAAGTTTGTTTTGTTTCTCATTGCATTAAGAAATTAAATGAACAAGCTGCAGAATTGTTTGAATCTGGAGAAGATCAAGAAGTGAATAATGGTCTGATTATCATGAATGAGTTTATTGTCCCATTTTTACCCTTGTTACTGGTGGATGAGATGGAAGAGAAAGATATACTGGCTGTGGAAGATATGAGAAATCGATGGTGTTCCTACCTTGGACAAGAAATGGAATGTAAGTTTATATAATGCTAGTGGGCACCCAAGGTATTCATGAAAATATTAGATACAATTTTAACTTACTGCTTTTTGTATTCTTTAATATTTTAATATCGATATCACGACACGATTTTACCATATTTGTGAACTAAGCTGTTAACACTGTGCTATTACCATTTGTATTTCACCACTTCTCAAAGAGAAAAAAGCATTTAACATACACTGATAACTCAGATGTTGAACTTAATCTTTCCAAATTCATATCTAAACACTGAAAAGTTTAAGAAGTGAACATATTTACCCCATAAGAATTTGGGAAAAAAACAAATAATTTGTTCTGAGATCCGAAATTAAATTTGAAAATTCATTTTTTCAGTACTTTAAGTCACTCTGGAGGTTGCTAGCCTTCTTGCGTATGTATCACCGTGTCAGATAACGCTGTCGCCCCTGAGTTGTTTCTATTGTGTCCAAGTTAACACAAACTTTTAGCCTCTTTGGTGGTCTGGGTTATTTGTTTCCTGGTTAACAATTTTCCATGTTTTGCTACATTAGCTGTTTCATTCTTTTTCTTTTTATTCCAAAACTGTTGATATTGTTAACTTAGCCAAGTTGTATTCAGCAACCAGTCAGAGAAATGGTGATCTGATTCAGAAATACAGAAGAATTTCTTTCTTCAACTCGATGGTAGTTCTCACAGATTTCCTTTGAACTTTATTGTTGGTATCGCTTACTGTCTTTGGAGCCACGATTACAATACTTTACCCAAGCAGAGCTCAAAAGCCCCACGATGATGAATGTTTTAACGCACTTACGTAATAAGCATTACTCATGTCTAAGCGAGAGCGTGCTGAGACGGAAGCAGTACCCCTTTTTGTCCGGACTGAGAGACACTAAATGACAGACTTACTGTCGGCCAGTACAGGTTTTTCAAGTTGGATTTTTGGTTGAGTGTTGAGCAAAGTTACGAACACTAAGCAGATTTTTTTCGAACTTTGCTGGTCAAGCTATCGGAACTGTGAGCGCAGAGCCATTCCACAACCAAGGATCGCCGTATTTTGAAAGGACTTGTCAAACTGCTGCAAGTTAATCACATTGAGGGCAAATATTTATCTCCCCCTCTCTTTATCTTTAATTATATCTAATGGTGTGTATTTACAGCAAACCTCCAAGAAAAGCTGACGGATTTTCTGCCCAAACTGCTTGATTGCTCTACAGAGATGAAAGGTTTCCATGAGCCACCGAAGTTACCGTCATATTCCACTCTTGAACTCTGTGAGCGGTTTGCCCGAATCATGTCGTTCAGTCGGACTCCTGCTGATGGAAGATAAACTGCACTCACTCTCCCTAAACACACTGTGTAACATTTTTTAGTTATTACCCCTTGCCTTCCTGTCACAGGATAAGCTTGTTGCTGCTATAGGTTTTAACTTTTTGTTTTTATTTTAATAACTGCAAAAGACAAAATGACTATACAGACTTTAGCCAGACTGCAAACAATAAAGCTGAGAATCGCATGACACTCAGACTTTGTTTTAACCAGAACTGATGTGTAATTCTAAATCCAGTTGACTTTATTCTGGCAAACCCATGCTTTTGCCACCCTTTGTTACAGTATTACTTTGCTTCTACCTTTATCAGCAGCTTTCCCCACAGTCTGGCCCTTCCAGGGCTGCAGCCATTTAAGTGTTCAACATTATGTACAATAGCATAATATTTGGTAGCTTGTAAATGAAATTAAAGAATAAAGTTTTATTTATGGCTACCTATGTGTTTGTAAGCAGGTATATTGTATATTAGTGTATTATTTTAGTTCTAATATATAAATGAATTTTGTCTGGGGATTGATAAAGATTGGTGATGAACAAATTGATACAATCTTTAATTTTGCTCCAATGTTAGCACATTGGACATTTACTAAATATTTGACACGTAAATATATTTATATTTTTTACTAAGTTGTGGAACTTAGTATGACACCTAAACCTATTTTGAATTCAAATAATGTTTTCACTGAAATGAGTGACTGATTTTTAAGTCAAACCACACTGAAACTTTTAAGCTTTTCTTAGAACAACCTTTTATTTTTCTATGTATTTATAACCAATATAGCAAGGTAATTATTAAAAGAGAAATCTGAAAAAGTACTTGAATAAGGGCTACTTAATTGTGAAACTTAAAAGATATGTATATATATATATATACACATACACACACACACAAACACTTTTATTCTTCATAATGGAGAACAATGTTTTGCATTATATAATCATTCTATTTTTGTAAATTGTATACCACTTTAATTGAATATGTTCTCTACTAATCAATGCTGTGAAATGAAGTTGATGTTGTTAAAATAGAAATTGTGAGTATCTTTCCTGCTTTTACTTGCCTACTTTTCAAAAAGGAGCTATCTGTAGAACATTTTGTAGATGAAACTGTGTTTAAGTTCAATGAAGTAATATTGTGAATGCAAACCAGTGCTTTAAAGGTAATCATGTTACCAACAACCTATTTTTGGATTTATAAAAAATGCTTTATAAACTATTTTGCTAGCTTAGTAAAGCATTCATTATATCATGTGTATGTTTGTTGTAGCGACACCAAAACTAGTGCTTTTTACAAACACCTTACAAAATAGTAGGAGGAAAAGGGGGAAGAAATTATTCAGTAACATGTGATACTCTTTATAAAGTTATCTGTACTGATACAATATTAATGACAAGGAATGGATACTGTATCTGTTATAAAAGTTAGATCTTGCAGATTATAACTTTCAAAATATTTTGGTTTAGATTTTAAATTCTCTACTGAGTAGAATTAGTATTCTGCATCAAGTTTCAAAGCCTGTCAAAGGTTTAGACACCTTATATGTATCACCAAGGCTTTTGTAAACGTCAACATTTTATGATAACAGTAAAGTTGATTGTGTTCATGTGTATACTTTCCTACTGACATGTAAAGTTCATGTGTATACTTTTCAAACACAAAATACAAATTCTTTCAAGTGACACATCCAGGTAATCATGTGTGGCTCTTGTGCTAAAGGTAAGTGATATTACTAAATTTATTTTGCACTTTAAAACTAGGTTATTCCTAACAATAAATCTGAAACTTATTTTAAATAAGTGCCTTTTTTTTTTTTTTTCAAAACCTGGGGAAAAGCTTGTTTTCATAGCAGCATTTAGTGTGGTTTGGGGTCAGTGGTATTCCCTTATATTATGTACTGGGGGAAATTGAATTTACAGCTAGTACTTTAAAAAGTGGAATGCATAATAGTGTTATCCAGTGGAGGTTACATTTTGATTTGAACTATTTTCATTTTGTTTACTATAGTAGGTCCTTCCTGCTCCTTAAAATTAGATTTGCATTAATTCAGGGTGGAATTTAAGACCTTGAAGTTTCTTGTAAATACAGGCTTTAGGAGAACTGTAATCACGAGTAAAGCAAGGAGGCACCTCTAGTACTTTTCTTAATCAAATTCACATTAGTGCTAAGTATACACCAGATCACTAATTGGCAAAGTGTAGTCTCCAGTCCCAAACTTCAGCATCATTTTGAGAACGTGTTAGGAATACAAATTGCTGAGCCCTAGTTCAAAACTACTGGTTTGGAAACGGGGGCAACCTAATCCCTTCACACCATTTGTATGTTTGCCAAAGGCTGAGAACCGCAAAACGAACTAAGCGTACCAGGATGCTATGCATCTTAAAATGATGCGGCAGAGTTTGTGTTGCAGGGGGTCCTTTGTTTGTTGGAAGCTTTTCCTGTCTCTTGCAATTCCAAGGAAACGATCGAAGGATTATTTATTTATTTATTTATTTGGGGATGGTGGTGGTTGCTTTTATATTTAATTGATCAGGTGCATTTTCATTGCATCCTTCCTGTTCTACAGTATTTTCATCCTTAGTTCCTTCCTTTCCCTTTTCCATCCCTCACTTCATCACTGGTAACTGTTGTGGCCACACCTTGTTACATTGTCACACAATGCTGTGAGACACAGGCAGTGGTGGGTTTCCTCTTTGGTGAGGTGGAGGCCGGGGCTTAGGAATGGTCTGGAAGAGTAATGAGCTATCCATCTATTTGCCACATTTTTTTTCCCTCCTGCAATTCCTAAACCTAATTTCATTTTCTAATGGACTGACTTTAGGAATAAATTAAATTTTCATAATAGAGGTTGTTACTAAGAATAATGATTCAGGTGAGGGAACTGCACACTCATAAGTACATACTATAAACCCTATCAATTTAAATATTCTTCGTCATCCCATGTAGTTTTTCTCAATCCCTATTTAAACATTACTGTTTCCCCCCACCTTCTCCTGTGCCAGCTCTTGTGATAAATGACCTTTTCTTTGCATCGTCAAGAAAATGGGGCATATTAAGTATGGTTGTCCTTTCAACTTTACACCTCCCTGCTGTGAGTTTACGGCTACCCAGTATATAACATAAGTGCAAATCATTAACAATCTTAAAAGTATGAAGTATAAAGTCAAAATTTAGTATGAAGTTGCCATAGAAATTTAGCTCACTACCACCAAACGTTGCCAACTCCCGAGTGTAGAAAAGCAAACAAGCGTGTCAGACTCCATTCTAAATCATGACAACCCCCTAAGTTCAAGGGTAGCAGTGCCTCGGGGTTTTCTTGTCTCTAATACTGAAGATACTTCGGCCAGTGGACCCACCATGAGGGCACAGACTACACAAACCACAACAGCCAGCGGATCACTAACCTCCACTTTTTAGTTCAAAACATCCATTAAAAACACACATCCATTATTTAAATTCCATTAGCATCCATCTATTAAAGTATAGAGAAGCTTTCTAAAATCATTTTCCTCTAATGTATTAGGCCAAACCCTGTACATCAGCTTCTTTTTAGTGTGTGTATGTGTGTGTTTAATAGGGCCAAACTGCTTCTCAGCCCTGGCTGTATATCAAAAGCACATGAGAATTGCCTCCGTGTAAAATTACCTTCTTTGCCATGAGGCCAGAAGAACTGGATGTTGACCTGCTAGCATTACTAAACAGATTTAGTTCAGTGATTCTATTGAATCCTGATTCAAAGGGGGTGGGGCATGAAGAATAGTTTCAAATGCTGGGTGAACTCCTGAGACTTGATAAAATCTTTAAACCTTAAAGTACCCTAAGGTCTTGAAAGCAGACAATAGCTTAAGCAGTAACAGTGTCAGCCTTGGATATTGTGCTCTTCTAAGAATTACCAACAGCAACTTGAAAGACCAGATAGGAACTTTGGAAAATCCTTTATTGTAAGCAGGGAGGAGCATCTCAAAAACAGGATGAGGATGGTTGCACAACTTGAAGAATGTAATCAATGTCACAAAATTGTATGTGTAGGAGTGGTTGAACTGGTACATTTCATGTATATTTGTACAGAAAATTTACATGTGTGAAGAGCATTTGAAAAGTTCGATCTACTGAGCCCTGGTGGGGCTGTTAGATACACATTTCAAACACACTAGCAACTCTAAGGGTCTCCACTGAAATTGTGTTTACTGGCTGGGCTAAGATCCCCAAGGTTAGCAGTTTGAAACCCACAGCGGGAGTTCTACCCTGCCCTTTAAGATCACTGTGAGTCAACATTAAATTGATAGCAGTGAGAGAAAGCCACTTGAGCCTTGGTGTTTGGGAGGTGGGTTGTTAAAGGCCTGGCCAGCATTTTGAAGCCCCCGCTGCGTGGTGGGAGAATGAATGACAGAACTCTCTACTCCCATAAAGAGTTTTGGAAACCCACAGGGGCAGGTCTACCTGCCCTATGGAGTCTAGGAGTGGGCATCGACTCGATGGCAGTGACAGTTTGAGTTTGAGCCACTGTAAGGGAGGAAGAAGAGGTCTGCTCTCATAAGGAGCTCAACAACACTATAGGGTTGTTACGAGAATGATGGCTTTGAGTGGCCCTAGACCAGGCACCCTCCAACTATGGCCCACAGGCCACATGCAGCCCACTGAGGACATTTACCCCGCCTTCCAGGTGTTTTTGCCCAGTTTGTTTTTACTTCAAAATAAGATATGTGCAGTGTGCATAGGAATTTGTTCATAGTTTCTTTTAAAACTATAGTCCGGCCCTCCAACGGGTCTGAGGGACAGTGAACTGGCCCCCTGTTTAAAAAGTTTGAGGACCCCTGGGCTGTAGACAGTATCATATGTATTCCTAAAGCATTAGAGTTGAAAGGTGGTGTGTTAGTCTGGGTAGATTAGAGAAACAAATCCAAGGAGACTCAAGTGTATAAGGAAAAGATTTATATACAAGAGCAATTGAACATTGAGAAAACAGCCTAGCCCAGTCCAGATCAAGTCCGTAAGTCCAATATAGCCCAAATGTCCAATAACAATCCATAAAGTCCTCTTCAGACTCACGAAACACATACAGTGACGCCAAATGTAGGAAGATTACAGGCCAGTGGGTGTGAAGTCTTGTGGATCCAGCGGTATTGTAAGCATCTCAGTGCTGGCAGGGATCTCCACATGGCTTCTCCAGGGCGCAGAGTCTATCAGCATAGTGCTTTGTGTCCTATGAGTAGTGTGTCTCTCAGGGAATGAGCAGAGAGAAAAATAGTGCCTCCCGCCTCCAGAAAGGAATATGGGATTTCCTAGAATTCTCAGAAGGCCATGCCCACACAGAGGCCTCATTGGCTATGATCTGATTGACAGACTAGACTCCACCCCTTCATTCACAATCCTCTCAAATTGACACCAGTTTATGGAATGACCACAGGTGGCTTGAGGTTTCTTACTCTAGATCAGCGGATCTCAACCCTGGATCGTGACCCCTTTGAGGGTTGAATGCCCCTTTCACAGGGGTCGCCAGATTCCTAACAATAGCAAAACTACAGTGATGAAGTAGCAAGGAAAAGAATTTTATGGTTGGGTGTCACCACAATGTGAGGAGCTGTGTTAAAAGGTTGCGGCATTAGGAAGGTTGAGAACCACTGCTCTAGATCAATGCTTCTCCAACATTAGTTTATCTGAGCATCACCTGTGGTCGTTCCATGAAAGACTTGGCTATAGCTTGAGCAAGGTGGAGGACAATACTTCTCTACTGCATGTCAAAGGAACTGCTTCTGGGCTTAAATTTCCCTGTGTGCTCTGAGTAGTGCACATCCATGTCTCTAAACAAAGACGTACTCATGTTTTTCAGCCCTAAACTGAATTTTTCTTATTCCTATGCCGAGTGGCTAAGAGTTCGGATTCTCATCTGGAATCAGGCTACAGAATTCAGATACAGGTCAACAACTAGTAAAACTCACTGCTATCTAGTCACTTCCGACTCAGCCACCCTACAGTTCCGGGCAGAACCGTCCTTGCCACTTCACGCATGTAGAAAGCCTAGTCTTTCTCCTCTGTTCATATTTGCTAGCTGACTGTTAACTTTGAATGAGTTCTTTAACTTTTTGGATGCCAGTTTCCTCATTTATAAAGTGAGAATTAAAATATAATCCTCCTTTAAAAAAGAACCCAATTACCTTTGAGGCACTTTTGGCTTAATCCTAAATAGGGTTTCCGAGGCTGTAAATCTTTATGGAAGCTGCCAGCCTCATCATTCTCCCGCAGCACAGCTGGTGGATTTGACTGGCCAGCCTACCAGTCCTGTGCCTAACCCACAGCACCGCGAATGTTCCCAGCCAGTCCTCTGTAAGAGGGTTATTTTAAGGATTATTTGCGTTTGTATCTAGAAAACAAAATGCCTGCCCAGTAAATGTTCAATAGCAAACTTTTTATTTATTTTTTTTTACAATATGACACATTGCTATTCCCACTTTTTTATTTTCAAGGTTTTGGCTTTCTCTACAACTACTTTTGGCTACTCATTACTTACGGTTCCTTTTGTGCCTGTTCCTTTGATAGGATGGTTCGACATACTTGACTCTCTTCACCTTCTGTGGGTGTTGTCTACTAATTTACCTTTCTGCCCCACATACGAAGGGGTACCCCCCCCCCCAAAATGGAATCTTTTTTCAAAGCTATGTATTTAATTTTTTTTTTTTTAACGAAACAACCTTAACACCTTCAAAGTACTTTCCATTACACTTATATTTGTCAAATCTGTGATTCCACTGTTGGAAACATTTTTCAAACTCATCTGTTTGGATTTCTGACAGCACCT